CACCTTCGCTCGCATGCTCTCACATCACACACACAGGTGAGTCTGCGCATGCCCACTCTGAGGGACCAACAGTCACTTTTTTTACCTCTACCTGAAATTACTGATCCTTCCCATGTAGCCTGTTCCTGCTTCTCACCATGTCTCAGAACACATCTTCGTCAGTCTTCATGGTCCATAGCATACTGAATCCTGTTCCACTGTGAAGATATTGTCTACTGGGGCCCACAGTGAGCTTCAGAGGCAGGAAGTATGTCTCCTCTCCGGTCAAAACCTCCTCCACTAACGCTTCAGCCAGGGCCAGGTAGGTGTCTGAAGGACGGACCTAGTACTTGGTTCCTAAAAGCCTTATTCTCTGATGTAAATACTGTTGGATTAGTGTCCAATTTCTCATTCCTAAATTATTCTCATATAATGCGTTTAGTGTTAAACATTATTAGTTTTTTTAAATTTGTTTTTAACTTTTCATTGGCAAAATATGATTGTTTTTATTTGTGAGGTATAATGTGATACAAAAAAGTAATGTGCAATAAGTAAATTTAACTGATTAATACAACATCTATCACTTCCTTCACTTGTTTTTTACAGTTAGAACACTTGAAAATGTACTTCGGCATGATAAATATGAGAGACAGTGGGTATGTTAATGAATGTGTACGTGACAAGTATACAATTCTTCTATCAATTCAGTTATTAATTAAGCAAGAAAATTTACTCATAGCAATATTTGAAATTATAGTCCTTTATGATTAGCTATAGGTAGCAAAAACTTATTTCCCCATGTAACAGAAATTTTGCATGCTTTGACCAACATCTCTTCATCTGTAGGCAGTTCCTAGTGACTACCATTCTAGACTCCAGTTTCACTGGGAGTCCTGCTTTTATTCAGGAGTAGAGGTGCATACTGCAGAGTATCTTCACTTCCCAGTATGCTAGTCTCTATTATACAGTTCCTCTAGATAAATATACATTTGTATATGTTTACCTATATATCTCTTTGTTTTGTATTTTACATGGATGTTGCCTCATATCAGAGAGAACACATGATATTTGTCCTTTGCGGATTGACTTGTTTCACTGAGCATAATTCTCTCCAGTTGGAACCATTTTTGTTACAAATAGTAGAATTTCATTCATTTTAATGGCTTAGTAATGATATTCCATGGGGTACATGTACCACTGTTTCTTTATCCATTCCTCTTTTGACAAGCATCTGGGTTGTTTCTATGTCTTCTCTATTGTAGGTTGTACTACTCTAAATACAGGGTTGTATGCAGGTCACTATATTTGCAGATTTCACTTCCTTTAGAGATATTCTAATGAGTGGAATAGCTGGATCATAGAGTAGATCCATTTTCAGTTGTCTGGACACTCTCCATGCTTCTTCCATTGCCACTTCCAATCGCTAAGATGCTCAGAAATCCACAAGCCATTTTTTTTTAGAACCACTGTTTTGTATCTGAAAAATTGTTCAGTTCACAAGCTAATGTGCTTTGTATGTGAACATAGTTACCTGAACACAATGCTTATCTGTTGTGTGACATTACGAGTGACTTCCACCCACCACCCAGCCTCCGCCATGCCCTTTTAAGTGGTATTGCTGCTTGTGCTGGAATGTAAATTCCCCATCAGATTGCATAGAGTGGAGTCCCTGCAAAAATGCCTACTGTTCCCTCAGGAAACTAGTTCTCCAAATTGAGAAACTAATTTGGAGAACTAATTTCCCCATCTGTAGAATGGGGAAAAATTCCTTCTATGTAATTAATTTAGTATTAAATGAGAATGCATAGAAAGTGCTTGGCACAAAGAAATGCTCAGTAGTAAATGCTTGATTCATGTCTCTATGGCTCATATTTAACACAGAGTGGGGGTATGTGCATACCAAATAGAAAATGGTATCTGGTCAGTCCCCAGTCCCTGGGGGCCAGAGCACACAGCCCTCACAGCCCTCCCTTCTCCTTCCCCCTCTCTCTTCCCTTCTTACCTAGCTCTTCCCCATCCCCCTCCATCTTGTCCCTTCCCCTGCCCTGGCAGCCCCCATCCTGCCACCATAGCTCCTGTTGTGTCTCTTCCAGTTTTCTCCCCATCCATCCTGGCTCCCGTTCCTACCTTGCCGGAATAAAGGACCTGGAATAAAGCACCTTGCTGCATCTGGGATTTTGGCTTGGGGTGAATATCATGAATAGAGGACTTGGCTGCAGGAATTAGCTACGTGTAACAATGTAAGAACTCTAGGAACTGTAAGTGAGTTAAAAACCTAACACCCGGGCCCGGTGGCACCTTGAACACACGGGGATCCCATATGGGTGCTGGTTCTTATCCCAGCAGCAAAAAGAAAAAAAAGAAAAGAAAGAAAATGGTATCTGGACAGGCACATGCAGAGTCCAACACAGCAGTTAAGCTCCATGTCACAGAGATCTGCTCTTTGATAGAACTCTCAGTATCTATCTAGCGATATGTTTTTTCACACAGAGAGAGACGGCAAAATAGAGCTATACATTGGTTCATTTCCCCAAACTCCCAACAATGGCCAGAGCTGGGCCATGGCCAGAGGTGGAAGCTGGAACACAAGGCAGAGCTACTGTGTTTTACCAGGAGCCCCACTGACCCATCTTTGCTGCCTTCTCAGCGTCCGCATTAGCAGAAATCTTGCATCAGGCTCCATAAACAGATATTGAACCTTGATACTTGAATGTGGAATGCAAATATCAGAATCCCTGACCTCACTCCTAGTGACACTTCTGTTAGAACATAAATGAATGATTGTAGTGGAAGCTTTGGACAGTGATACAATTGGAAATGCAGATCGAAAATTGGAAGGAGACCAAAGAGTTTAACAAGTAAACTTAATGACAGTGACATTTTCAGTAAGAAGAGCTATTTAGTGAAGCCTTAAACTAGTGGAAGTGTTATTGAAGATAAAAATATCTAGAGTGAGCATAGCTGTGTGGTTCAGGTTACAGCTCTCAGGACTGGAGGAGGGAGTGCATTTTTGAGCAAATGCCTAGGGCAATATGAGACCATGGCCTGGAACAACACACAGCCACTGCGCAATGAGCAGGGCCTGTAAGAATTCTCTTCCAAGGTAAGCGGAGACAACCATTCCTTAGTGGTAGTGTTCCCTGCTATTAAGTTCAGTACTTATTTTAGGTTCTTTTTTGAATATTCAGTATTTTTGTGTTTCATCTCTCAGAGTAAAGAACTTGGTTAGGGTAAATCAGTTAACTTTATAATGTGTAATTATATTGTGAAACCAAAACAGGAAGTTAAATCTTAAACTATGAAATTTTTATAAATATGTTCCTAGGAAAGCTGGATTTATTTTTTAAATCCTCTGCTATTTTGATTCTCATGGATTTTTTTATTGGTTATTATTTTCCATGATACAGTTTTGTAGGTATAAGGATGCTCCCATATCTTGCATTCCTCCTTCACTATTTTCCCCTCCTACCATTTTCTCCATAATGTCACAGTAGTATAATCCTTTAGTAACAGTTAAAAGCTTAACAGTCTATTTAAGTGTATCATGGCATTACAGGTGTCAGCAAAGGTAGAAAATCTAGTATCATACTTTCAAAGTATATTCAACCATTTCATTAGGAATAATAAGCAAATATAGTATCTATTTTGTAAGGAAATAATAAAATTGATCATAAAATGAGCATATATGTTCAGTGGTTTTGTCAGTTTGACTCATTTCTGACACTAGGTAAGCAGTATTGTTACAGTACTGTTGCTAAAACATTTCCATTTTCTAAAAAGAGCAAATAATAATAACTATATGCTTAGTAGCTCATAACACCATTCTTCTGAAAGCAGTTTACATGAGTACATATAATTATGAAGATAAAACAAAAATTTAATCTAGAAAAAAAGTACATGGACATAGAGGGGAGTTGTAGGGAAAATAATCCGTCTAGCAAAGATTGGCCATGGCAATGATTCCTGAGCCTGACTGGTCACCCCTTAGAGAATGGAGAGCTTTATCAAATGTAGATTCTTACATCCAGTCTTATGGATTTCAGGGTAGAATATAGTGAGACTCTAGAATATGATTTTCCCAAACTGAATCCCTATGTCCTTCCTTTGAACAACTAAATTTGGAGACCCCTAGGCTATGTGAAGGACAACTACTGAACTATCGTAATTACAGTGTGTGTCTCCACTTGAAGGTTATATGTGATTCTAGCAACAGATAAAATTTCTAAACAACTCAGAATAGGAAAGCCACAAAAAGGATTGTTTCATCTTGCCTAAAAATTGAGACATTTTTAGGCTGTATGTATGGCATTATGATATTCTAGTTTCCAATAAAAAACAAAGCTTTCATTTAGGTGTGTGTGTGTGTGTGTGTGTGTGTGTGTGTGTGTGTGTGTGTGCAAGAAAGATGTTGCTAGTTTTGTGGACCCTTGACTGCCTAGATCATCCATTCATGGAGCCACATCAGTTCTCCACTAGTCTCCATGAAATGATCAGACTTTCCATTTGGTGTGTGCAGTAGTGCCATTTATTTTCCCAGGACCCAAAGAAATGCATTGGCGCTGTAGTAAATTCATTGCTGTCTTAAAAATAACATGCTTGTATTTTTGGCAATTGCTTGATAAAGTGGTACTTTTTGTTGACAGTAGAATCTTGTTCCTAAGCAAATCCGCTTAAAATAAATTTTAAAGAAACAGCATGTTTGTAGGGATTGGATATATTATAGCTATGACAATGAATTGTGTTGACAATTTGTCTTTTTAGGGCTTTTCTAGGAAAAAGCTTATTTTGGTGCAAAAATGGAATCCATGCATAATATTTCAATAATTCATCTGTTCAATTATTTTTTTTGGTGTAAATTCTAATTGTATTCACAGCTTAACCCACCAAACGAAGACACAATCATGAAGACAAGCCCTCACTGGACCCCAAGTCTGCTGGTGCCCTGACCTTGCACTTCCCAGCCTTCCTCCACGAAAAACAATGACAAAATACCACTAACTGAAGAGTGCTTAGACTTAGACTTTTTTTTAAAAGTAAAGAACAATTAATTTATTGCTTGCTGAAACCTTCCAATCAAAATACATATACAGATAAAGAGTGACTAATTCGCTTATTTTATTTTTTATTGAATTTTAACAGATTCACATTACAAAAGAGTGTGCACTTATATTAAATTTGAGCTATTTAGGACACCATTTACAAAATTACTTATGATGTTATAAAACAGTCATATGCATATTAGTAAAAAATATAACTCCTAATTATTAAAAGTAATAAGGAAAGTAATTTTGAATCCTGATGGGAACAGGGATTTGAGTGTGACATGAAAGAGGAGAATGCAACCCAAGAAACTACCAGGAAGAGCGGATTAAAATTCAGGCCAGGCCTCCCATGCTTGAATTTTAGGATGCAGTTGACCCCAGATAAGTAAAACCCTTCACACAGAGTGTCCTGACTGAACTCCACTTATACAAACACTCAGCGTATATCTATTTCTTCAGAAACTTTGTCCTGAATGCCCACTGGGCCCTGTTCAGGTCATGTCACAGCCAGCGAGTTTGCAGCCTTAGTCCCCAATGAAAAGGATCACAACCTTCTTTTAAAGGTCATATTTGTGAATTATATTCACTTTAAGGAAAGGATTTATCAATGATTTACCAATTCAGAATTTACCAAAATAATCTGGCTGTGGACCTATGAAGCACCTTGTTTAGTGGAGAAAGACTTTTTGTTGACAAGGGTTAAAGAATTCCTAACCCTAACAGTATAGCACCACATATACCATAGAATGTACAGCATAAAATGATGTGGCCCTCAGTAAATGACCTTTCATAGCTGTAGACTGTTCGCTGTGCATACTTACAAAGTCCATATATTGAGTGTCAAATAAGAAAACATGAGACCTATCTCAGCTTCCCTATTTCTAAACTAGATTTTCATATAACAATGTGTCTCTCCCACTTCTAAAGAATACACATGGCAATTCCTGTTTTTAAAATAGCCATTTTGTTTACAAAGTGTGCTATTTCTTCTGATTTATAATTCTTAGACAACAAGCCAGGTTTCTCAGATCCAGTGAAAATGCCAAAGAAACGAGGGCCTGTGCTGAATTCTCCATCTGGAAATGGCAGAGTCTGCAATGCAAATCCTCATCTCTATCCTGATTCTCACTGCGTTTGCTGTCTACCTGTATATAGGCAGTTTCACATTGAACACATAACCAACAACCTATTAGATTCTTTTTAGAACAGGACCCTGAGAATAAGTCCAACAGGAAATCACTTATTATTTATAGTACCAGCTTGAAGTCATGAAGAATATCTACTCTTTAAAAACACAGAAGGAAACAGATTTTCCCAAAACTGAAGCCTGTTACCAAGAAAGGACAGTATATACTTGGCATGGAAGTGCTCATCTACCTTCAGTGTCTATAACTAAACAGTTGTTAAAAGTAGAAAAATCTAACTTTCAGAAAAGTAAGTTTGTTGAAATGCTATCGATAGGGTTCGTGTCCAAGCATGGACTATGAAGCAATCTTGCTATAATGATCTGAATAGGTTTTCTCTGCCATTTAGATGAGACATGTTTTGGGGTGTCTCTTAGCCGTAGGCACAGTTGGCATCATTTCCGTGAATCCAGAGGCAAATCTGAGCATACTTGAGGGGGGTGATGCGGACAGCAACATTGTAGTCTTTCTGAACACCCTGCACATCCACCCACTGGTGACCAGAATAGACCGCAATGATTTTGCGTTTCCAGTTCTTTTTGTCTGGTTCTTTCAAACGCAGATAGACCCCAGAGCCGGTGGAGCCTGACTCAGCATCGCAGTATTGATAAATGAGATCATTGGATTCATCAGCCACGCTGCAGAACCGGTAGACCAACTGATCAGCTCTGTCATTATCAAACCCTGAGAAGTGGATCATTCCTCCAGGCAGCTTCCTGATGGTCGGACTGATTCCTAATTCCATGTATTTCTTCTTGTGGGCCCGCTTCAGCTCCAGGAGAGCATAGTCAAAGTCCACATTGGGGTCTCCGCCTTCTCTTGCCCAGCCTTTTGGAATGTGCGTATTCTTGACACGGGTCCACTGGAAGGAGGGTTTTCCATCAGCCCCTCTCTGACCTCGACCCAATTCCTTTCTTCTCCGTCTACCCTTGGCTCTCTTCTGCAGGTCTTCATTGGTGCTTTCTCCTTGGTCACCACTGTTAGCTTCCCTTCTGCTCCGTTTAGAATTCCTGAGTTTCTTGTTCCCACCTTTATTTCTTATCTTCAGCAATCCCACTCTCAGCTTTCTACTCCCTTTGATGTAGTCTTTCCCATCGTGGATGCAGTGGGCAGCTGTTAGGACATGCTTGGGGGACACAAGAATGCCACTGCAGCCGGTGGAGAGCTTCACAGCGGTACTGAAAGGGAAATTGGTCAGGAACCTTTTGTCCAGGATGCTGAACCTGCTGTCGGTGCCATATACCTGCCTCTTCCTTCTCACAGGAGCGCCTTGCGTGGTGACATTTTCAGTCGGCTCAAGGAGCACACCTTGAACTTTGACTCTGGTTAAGGTGCGGGTGCCATTCTCAAAAACAGTCTCATATGAAAGAGACTCCTCCAATTCTGAAAGGCTGGGAGCTGGCTGTTCTTTCTGGCATTCGATACCACACACTGTGTTTACCATCATCTTACCATCTGCCTCAAACCCGGGGCTGGTGAGATGGAAAGTCCTTTCACTGACAATCTGGGGTATCTTTCTCAAATGCCATGTGAATTCCTGCTCCATTTCAGATCCACCAATGAGGGTCCACCCAGGGGTGAAAAATACCAACCAAAATAGTATATTTTCCATTTTGTTCTTCGATATTTTCCCTTAAAATGGAAAGAAAAAGGATAAGCATTATAACATCTCCTTTTCAAATGTTACTAAATGCATTTCATTTTGCCTGTAGATTCCAAGTGTACTTTCACAACACAGTTCTTTTCACCTGACTTAGTCTTGGCATTAAGCACTCCACATGTGGGCTCAGAGACTTCTAGAACCAGTCCAACGTTTTTCACCCAACTTTCCTTCCACCAGTCCTAGCGCACCTCTGCACCTAACCCCACCTCCAGTCACTCCCTCTCCCTACAGCTCAGCACCTAAAACAGTAGGGCAAGGCCATTTGTAGCTGAAACGACAATCTCCCTCCAAGGCCTCCTAACAACTTAAGTTCCAGGTGATTTAAAAAGAAAATTAGGAATGACCTTCCTTGTGGTTCAAAGTGCCACTTGAGATGCTGGAATCCCATATGGAAGCCAGTTCATATCTGGGCTGCTTTGCTCCACTCCTGGTCCAGCTCCCTGTTAATGGTCCAAGAAGCCAACAAAAGACAGCCCCTGCAGTCACATAAGAGGTTCAAATGAATCTCCTGGCTCCTGGCTCTGGCCTGGCCCAGCCCTGGCTATTGGAGCCATCTGGGGAGTGAACCAGCTAATGAAAGCACTCCTTCTTTCTTTCTTTCTTTCTTTTTTTCTTTTTCTTTTTTTTTTTTTTTTGGTTTGTTTCTCTCTGTGTAACTCTTTCAAGTAAATAGATAAATCTTCAAAACAAAAAGACAAAGGAAAGGTGGAAAGGCGAGAGGAGGGAGGAGAAAGAGGAGAGGAGGAAAAAAGGTTGGCTCCTTAAAAGCAGCATCATAAAAATCCTCATCTTTAGAATTGTGTATTATAGAGTCCAAAAAACATGTATTGGAACACAGAGAATTTCCCTAAGCCTGGATTTGCTGAGCTTGCTGACAGGAAGTCACAACGCAAGGTAGTAGAGTTTTTATAAATGAATAAATGTTCTGTCTGATTCTTATAGAATCCCTGGTCATAAAGATAAAATATACAGCACAGGTCACTTTTTCTTTAAAAAAACATTTCTACTTGGAACCATTCTAGTAAAGCAGGATTCAAAAATGCATTCTTACGGATTTTACTGTGTGTTGAATTAGCTGTTAGAATTTATGAAACACATGGGATAGTCCTGGATATGATAACAATTAATGATATGCCCTTTTCATCTTTCTCTCTGTTTCCCTTCTCTCTGTAAATCTGACTTTCCAATAAAAATAAATAAATACTTTAAAAACAAAGAAGAAGAAAAGCTAGACCAATGGCTCTCAGATCATAGTCCCAGAACCAATAACCTCACCATCACCTGGACACTTGTTTAAGATGCTCACTGTTAACTCCAGACCAATGGTCAGAAACTCTAATAGGGAGGTATGCCAGCTACCTATATTTCAAACATCCCTGCAGATAATTCTGATAGGTAATAACATTTGAAAAGCCACTACAACAGCCAAGGCCATGGTGCAACTGCTGGAGTCACTCTACCAGGCAGTCTTTCCAGGCCTGATTGCTTAACCAAGTTTCAAATGACATCTGTCTCCTCAACTGAAATTGATTTATTCTAATTCTGTTTTTTTACTCTATTAGTAACTGTTAATATCAAATAAACAGGCATAACTTCTATGCAAGTAATTTAAAATACTTGGGGGAAAAGAACAAATTCAGTTGGCCTATGCGCAATGCTTCCAACATGGATCTCACAGTGCCAGCCCTGTTGAGAGCTCCACCCAGTGCACCGAAGGAATAGGAGCTGTGTCCACATCCATCCATGGTAATGCAAAGGCAGAGCCCTGTACTGTGACCTCTGAATCACAGTAATAACAGGCCATGGATATAGTTAGCCTAATTTGGCCTGTAATTTAAAATTGGACAAATGTCAAAAAAAATTAGACAAATGTTTGAGTATACTTTGAGTATACTTTTTGTGATCATGGTATCTTCCCTGCCAGGTAAGTATTGAGTATACTTTCTTTTCAAAAATCTAAGTGTGCCTTGTGGTAAAATGTCAACGCAATCTAAATGACAGCTCTGATTGATGGAACAATTTGCACTTCACTACACCAGCTCACTGACCTCAGTAAACAGTTGTGTGGTACACAGAGAATATTTGAAAATTCTAATGCCCCATGTCTTTCCAAACTGTTCTCTTTTTCATGCCTTTTATTATAATTATGACCCTTACTGTCACTTCTCAGGTGGTTGAATTTGGGGCTGCAGAAGGCAATTTGGGTTAAGGAAGTCCAGCTGTAGTCAGTTCTGTCCAGAGTGAGTTAGTATACACATAGTTGATTATGGGTTGCATCATGAGACAGAATAAAAAGGAATCAGGGAGAAGCAAGACATCTGTATATCTAAATAGACCCTAAGTGATGGAACAGACTCAATGCCACAGTGCTGGCCTAGCACTCAACTACAAGACAGATAACTTACTATTACCTTTCATTATTAGTTTGTGCATTCTTAGAGATGCCATTGTTGTTGGTGTTGAGACGTTTTGTGTATCTCTACAGTATAGTGGTTTAAAGAACAGACCAGGGGTTGAGAAGGCTTGGGTTTGACTTGCATATCTACTGCTGAGCAGGCTATCAATGTGAGCCATTTGTGACTCCAACATTCAGTTTCTCTATCTGCAAAGTGACTTATGTAGACTTAATGAGATGGAACCAGAGAACCTTAAAAAGTTTATGAAAAAAAATGAAATTGAAGGGTAAGTTTGGGGTAGGCTTTTGGCCTAGCAATTAAGATGTCTGCATCCTACATCATAGTACCTAGGTTTCATTCCCAGCTCTGGCTTCAAATTCTAGCTTCCAGTAAGTTACTCTGGGAGCCACAAATGATGGCTCAAGTGGTTGAGTACAGTCAGCCATTGGGAGACCTGGATTGAGTTCATAGTTCTGACTTGAGCATTTAAGTAAAGAACCAGTAGATGGGAGAACACTCTCTCATGCTCTCTCCATCTCTTGCTCGCTGTCTCTTCTCTGCCCAAGATTATTTTCATGCAAGAATTTTTTTGAAATCCATGTGCAATTTTTGTATAAGATGCATTGCTTATCATAACCTTTTGTATATGTGAGAGAGCTACCATGGAACCCAGGACACAGTGAGTAGTCAATATGAATGTTAGTTTTACAATTATTCTACTTCAATGGGTGAATAAATATCACCTTGAAACTGATGATGTGCAAGCCAAAGTTAGAGAAGGTTTAGTTTACTAAAAAAGTGTCACAGTTAATATTTTATTTCAGAATAGTTTCTAATTCTTAAATTGTCCTGCTGGTTTTTTTGTTTTTTTCAAAGAAAGCTTCACTTTAGAGACCTCCTAAATGAATGCTTTCCTAATTATTCACTCCCATGAATATCTGTGGCTTTGTAACATATCATTCTCATTGCTATTAAAGTTAAGTGTGATTAAATATTACCCAGCAACAAAACACTTAAATTTCATTCCCTCTCTCTTTTTTATAGCCTGCATCTACATTAGGAATTCTGGAATTGCATCAAGTCCTTAGTTAAAAAAGGACCCACCATGTCAGTGTCAAAGTAATTATTCTAATGGAGTGATCCAGCAAAAGAAAAACCTAATTTTTTGAGTGAGTCTGTAGAGTGTAAAGGATCTTACTAGGATACAGTTCAGTTACATTCTAGGGTTCAAGTTCTCTCTCTCTCCATCTCTCTGCCCTCACTCCTTCCGTCTCTCTGGGCTCAAGTTCTTTAAGAAGTTTATAGTCTAAAATAGGTAAGGCAAGAAGATTAATAAAGGGTTGGATGGCTTCTCACCATATTAAATATTCCAAATTCATTATTTTTGCCTGTACTTGAATGAAAATAAAGATGTTAACATCACCATCAGAGACTGCACTGAACTATATTCTTTCTACAGGTGACAGGGTCACACCCACGTCTCTTCATCCACCTGGTCCCTTGTAATGAACAGCAAGCTAGTGGTCCATATTCATGCCTATTATATTACTGCCATGGATATCATTCTGCAGTACTCCAATTTTCTGGGTGGTTACATAAGAAAGAAACTGCTGTGACCAATGGTCCTGTTGGTCTAATCTTAATTTGTGTACTAGGACACACCAATAACTACATAGGCACTTTTCATTATGTTTTTAAATTTTCATTTATCTGAGAGGCAAAGAGAAAAAAAAAAAGAGCAAGCCTCCATCCTCTGGGTCACACTTTAAACGCTTGCAACAATCAAAAACCAAGGTGAGGAACCAGGAACTCAATGCAGATATCCCATATGGGTGGCAGCAGCCCAACTATTTCAGATATCACTACTGCCTGCCTTGGCCCACACTCTCAGAATGCTAGAACAGGTGCTGGAGCCCTGGATTGAACCCAGGAACTCCAGTATGGAGCATGGGCATGTCTTAACCACCATATCAAATGCCCGCTCCCACCACTTTTTAGAACTTGGCTGTCCTTTAATTAGCTGTTGGTGATCCTACCCCCTGTCCCCACCAACCTCACCTCCTACATTTACACACAGCTAAATGTGAAGACATGTTCTCATCTCCTGCTCTGCTTTTATCCCGCAGCTGCTGAGCACACGCTGACATAACAGCGAGACCTGTGACCTGGCCTGGAGAGTCTGTATTACCCCAGAGAGGAAGGATGGCCTAGGCAGAAGGCCATGAACAGAAGACTGGGAGCAGCTCTTGTGACAGTGAGCAGGTGTAAAACAAACAGTAGAAAACTGCATTCTGATTGTGGAGAAGCTCTGCAAGAGGTTTTCATGGTCGCTTTTCATGTATGTTTGTGTGTTGGGGTGGAGCAGTCACAGAGAAAAATACTATGTAAAGTTGAATTCCTGACATCCACGTGCCCGTTTCTAAATGTATTTCATGGAGGCAACATTAAAGTTACAAAATGTATCAGAGAAATGAGAAAACATCAGTATTGGCATAACAAAGATGGAGAAATGAGAACTAGGGACTTTCATTAATTATGCATTCAGTGAGTCTT